CAGATCCTTGGTAACATCTCCACAGCACAAAACTACAAGGACATTCTCCCTCCTTTACCATTCGATGGCTTAATGTAACCAGTCCCCTCCAAAATGCATTTTTTAAAAATTTAAGCAATAAATAATTTTGCCAAGGAAGATTTGAAAAAGGAGATCTTATTAAGTGAAAATGCAAACAGACCAGTTTTATCTGCAAATCTAAAATGTTAAAAGAGATCATCTCACATTTCCACCACAAGCCTTTGATGGAACATCACTACCCCCTTGTGGATTAGCAATAAAAAATCCTTATCTTCTATCTTCACCTTTTAAATGTTTCATTCTGCTGAACTTCCATTAAGAGTTTACACTTTCTTCACTAAGAAGGGTTATTTTATTTCAATTACTTTTTAAAAAGAGAAAAAACACTTAACATTTGAAAATAAGCAATCCCATCAACGTCTTTATCTTCCGAGCAGCCCCATTTGGAGAGTTCTCCGTAGAACAGGGAAAGTTGCCGATTTCAACAGGGCAAGCACATCCACGTTCCATTCTTCCCGAGAATACCTGAACTGACACTCCCAATCATCACTTTGAGATTTTTTGAACGATAAATGGGTACTTTCTTCACTAGTGCATCTTTTTTCTTTCTATTTGATAATTTCACACCCTGTACAATTTCTTTTTATCGCTTCCAAATGGTTTCATATCCAAGTGCCCCAGAAAACCAATGGGGCACACACATCCTCAGAAATAACTTTTCAGACAAGGACTGAAAACCAAATCTAAGTTTTAAAAGATTAATTCTCGATTGTATTGCTGTGCCTTCAGAAACACTTCCTGGCACTCTCAAGCAACCCTGCTGAAGAAGAAAAACAGATAAAACCTTCTTCAAAACTGAAAAAAACCCTTTGTTTTTCTTTCTTTCTTTTCTTTAATTTTAGTAACAGGAGTACCATTCTAATACATGTATCCAGAGATACATCTTGCTAAACAAATAGTATAAAAAAGATGAAGTAAACTTAAACATCTGGGTTTCTTATCATGTATGTGTTACCGACACGAGGTTTAGCTGAAAGTATAAATCACCGCCACAGTCACATACAGGCCAGAGAGACCGTCCGAGTCCCGGCTTGTCAGCCTGCGCTGTTGGGAGTGAGTTCCCCACTTCCTCACAGGCGCTGGACACAAAAGCAGGGACACAGTCATTTACTATTATTATGAGAAGCCACAGCCCATATTCTTTCCAACGGGGAGGTGGGAACAAAGGAGGAAAAATGATTCACTCTGCAAGTGTTCTTAAGTGACTAAATACATAATCTTACCTTGTGGTAACTGATAAGGAAAAATGGAGACAATGCCTAGTCTATTCAATGCCTGACGCTGTGTTCCAAAAGGCTTTTCACATGTCAACCTGTGAAGACCGCAGGTACCAAAGTATCAATTGAGCAGCATGTCCAAAGCTGGTGGGGCGGGGCGGGCCTGCCTGGCTTGCCTTGCTGGGGTTTTGCTAGGATTGTTGTTTCTGGATTTTTTTCTTTTTTGAGAAGGCAGGGAGAGATTTTAGATGACAAGAGGAAGTGAGATCAGTGAGAGAGGAATGGTCTCCAGGTGGTGACATGTTTGAAACAGTTAAGAACTCAGTCCCAAATGTTTCCTTCCGGCATGTCACTTTGCGCACTTGTAACTACAAGCCACACGGCAGAGCGCAGAGGAGCACAGCCCCACACCAGCCGTCGCCCTCGCAGTCACCCTCCGCTAACACTCCTGGGAGGGAACACAGTACAGTACATGACTCGGAAGGCCTGGCTCAGTCTGAAAAAATAAAATAAAAAGTGACTGCACTTCTGCAAATGAGCAAAGGACTCTATAAGAGAACATGCAACCCTACCAGAAAGAAACAAAACACAGGGTGAACCCAGAAGAAACATTTAAAAAATATCTCTGGCCTTCCCACCTATGATGTCAATCAGTTGAAAGCAAATGAATAATCCGCTGAAAAAAGTGAGAAGAGAAGTAATGTGGCTGACACTTGGCCTCTGCTTGCAGTGGGTACATAATATTTCTCTTTTGGTCCAGGGTAATGAGCTAAAAAATGCTCAGGAAGCATTACCAACCTTTACACACGGAGGCCCATGACCTTCCACAAGCAATGGCGTTCAAAGCAGAGAGACGCAATACAACCTGAGAAGCACACAGCCAGCATACTGATGGGAAAGAAGGAGAAAAGAAAAGAAAACCTTGCTTTGTCTCACCATGGAAAAAATCGGGGACTGCTGTCCACCGTCAATATATACAGAAAAACACTCTGCCTACAAATACATGACAAGTATCATGGGATGGAAGACCACCTATATGTTTACCAGCCCCGCTTTCTAATGACAGATAGTCACACGACTTAACACGGGACTGATGGATCCACATCCGCTGATGGCACACAACACAACTGTCTCCTTAGCCTATATCCAAACCAAAAAAAACTACACTATACACTACAATCTGGAAATAGAGTGAATGACCATGCACTCTTACTCAGGTTACCTGGACAAGGAAGTAGAGGGTGAGAACACTTCTTATTCAAGCACACAAAGACTACACAGATAGTACCTTAACAGGCCAAGGAGCATCAGAAGACCCCACACGTCCTGGTGAATGAAGGCCCCAAATGAGTAGTACACTTGTTGGCTGTGCCCAAAGAAATTTACCATTGTCAAGCCAAAGAGACAGAAGGATGGCTAAATGCAGCAAAAACAAATTTCCAAAACCTACACGAGGCCCAGAGAGATGCCTGAAGGACACAGTGTTCCACTCCGGGAGAATGCCGTTACAGACATAACCATCACCCCTCCACCTAGTGGCTTAAACCCACCCCATCACCCTAAACTCAGGGAAATAAGAAGTAACACTCCTCTTACTACAGGACAAAAGAAACAGGGGGCATCCCTCTTTACTGAATGACAGGCTATGAATACAGTAGAGCTACAATTACTCTCTTATAATAATGATGATGGCAAGGGCAATAAAGAAACCTCTTTATGTGGGAAAGGGAAATAGGATTGAAATCATCTAGAAAAAAAAATGAGCATGGTAAGTGATTCTAAAAGATACCGAACATTTTAAGAAATGATCTGTTTTAATGGAAATACAAAAGAAACACATATTGCATGTCACCACAAAAAAATATTCAGCCACATGTTCACATGAATAAAGGACTGCCAAACCACAGACTACAACGATCCTCAACAAGAGTTCTTCTTAGGAGTGGAATACTAGCAGAATTGGTTTCTGCAGACATAGTGGAAGTTAAATCTGATTTAACATAGAAGGAAAAGAAAAAGCGCATTTCAGGTCAATTCTTTACTATTGTTGCCATCATTATGTATACCATACCTGCATCCAAAAATAATCTGAGGCTATTTACCGAAAGAGGAGGAGGAAGTACAAATAATGGTGCCATTTAAAAGTGTAAAGTATTAAAAGTCACATAATAAACAAAAGCAGTGATGACTACACCAGAAACCTAGCCTAACAATGGTCACCACAATTAGGCATTAAGTTTGGGTACAATATTCCAGGCAGTGAAAATGTAACAGCAGCTCAAGTCGTTCTTTCTATCTGATACTATGAAACATCTCAGGTAATCATAAGAGAAAATCATTTTTCTCTATCACTTCCTTCTGTAAAGGGTGCATTTGATTTCATGTCCTATACAATACCCCGAATTGGTGCTGTTCAAATGTTAAACAGGCACTCCAACCAACCATATATCCAAATGACCTAAAAGTTATGCCTACACATTTAAAAAGAAGGCTGACTTTACTTTTTTCTATACACACAGATACACACACATGCACATATGCACACGTGCGTGCGCGCACACACACACAGGCACAGTCTGAGGGGAAACTGTCAAATGTCTCTCCAGATGTGCCCTCCACCCTCCCCACTCCCAAAGGGCTGGAAGAGCTCAATGGAATAGTACACTATTAGAGTCTATTTTTGTATGATGATAATCCAAATAATTAAAATACAGAAAAGAATTCCTTACAAGATTATATAAAAAGACAAGGACAAGATACACTGAAATGTCATTTGTATTAAAAGGCTAACAAGACCCCTATGGCCTCAGGTAGTCAGATACCCCCTCCCCAGATCCTCGCACACAACAGCTCAGTACACGTCTCTGGAATGAATGCGCTCAGTGATGGAAACACGGAGTAAAAACAACTTCCTCCAAAATAACAAATTCAAGGGTCCCCCAAAGGAGGCAACAGGCACAATGAGGGGAAAGGAAGGGAACACGAGAACCACCTTCTGTTGCTTTTCCCATAAGGAAATTAGAAAGGAGTACAACTGTACACAAAGACATCCTTCCTCCAGACCTTAGGAAACAGGAAACAAAGGCTGGCCCAAAGGAATGAAGAAGTGGGGGAAAGCCACCATATGGGCTACCTCACAACCAGTCAGAAAGAAGTATAATCCCACCAGCACATGGGCCACACCGAGGATGAACAGAGGGCTAAACCAATGCCACTTGACCCCAAAGAACAGGCTATTTTAGGGGAAAGCCTAAAAACTAAAGAAATGGAAAAACACACATAAGCAGGATATATAAATATGTCTCAGAGCAAGCAAGAGCAACCCTCCCCTTCTGAAAGGAAAATCGGACCCAATCTGACCTTGAGCAGAGGTTGCTGTGACCACGTCAACATTCAGAATCCACTGAACGGTGAGATGGAGAAACCCGCATTTCCCAGATGCAGGACAAGCCAGGTCTTCGAGAAGACAAGGGAAGAGATCTTCCAGGGGCCACCCAACCTTGCCTGAAGAGCTGGGGTACAAGGTTGTAGGGGAGGAGACGGTGATGGAGGTCAGGAGGACCCATCCAGCCTGACCAGCTACAAGAGAACAATCACACTGGAAGAGCAGCAAAGCTGAGCTCCAATACTCGATGGGGACGGGGGACACAGAAGCACAACCGTCCTGAACTCAAAGGGAAGAGCCTAACTTTCCACACTAACCTCCAGTGTGCTCTTCTGACCTTTACCCTGTCCTTCCACGGCCCGCTGCATGGAGCACCCGATTAGCAAGGGAAACTCTCAAAGGCATCGGTGGGATGGAGTCGGCAGGCCAGGATCCACCACCGGAAGTGATGCCTCTACTGGGAAAACGCCAACACATACAGCAGGTTGTCACCTTGTTTTCCAAGGGTCAGTGGTACTACACCCTAAAAGTACACAATTCCATCCAGCTGAGTATAGATACAGAGAGGATAAAAAACATAAGAACTCTTGAAAAGCCAAAAGAAAAGCAAATTGAGGTCAAAGCAGTACTGTGTGGCGATGGGTATTATCGCAGCCGGATAGCTCACTATTAACTGAAGGGCCCAGCCCACAGTCAGTCGAAGCTGGCCAGCCCTCAGGCGGCCCTGTCTCCTCCTCCGTAGCCCAGGTGGAGTGTCCTTGCTAGAAAAGCGCTTGAAGGTCCAAATGCTTCGAGTCCGACAGAGCTTGCTGGGGAGGATGAGGCTCCAAACTCAGCCTGTCAAGAAGTGACAGCAGCTAGCAACCGTTCCAAGTTTTGTGAGGGAAGGAAGTGGGGGGACCGGGGAGACTCACATCACTGCCCCTGCCCCGGAGCCAAGGGCAATCAGACAAACACACAAACTGTGACACTCAGGGAACACCTGGAGAACAGTCCCTCCTGCCCTGTCACGAAGTGTCACAGGCCCTCCCAAAAGTACCTTGTCCTAATGTACACAACCTCTCTCAATTATTTAAAGGGCCAAAATAAAACAGCGACATATTTATGGCAGTTCACTTCCAGCTCCGTCACAGAAACACATATTCTTCTCACCCACTCCTCTCGTTTGCCCCAAATACATGAAAATCTCTTTCCCCTACACGGCAGGGAAGACATGAAGATGAGAACTTTTAACCCTATGCAGGACCAATCCGAGAATACCGCTCCTGGATTCCAAATGCCTAAGTTTGGGTGAGCATCGGCAAGCCCTCTGCACTTTACATGAACATTCAGGATGTCATTCTGCTTATTCAGTTCAGTACAAATGAGAAATGAAAGAGTGGTAAGACTGGCCATTTATCAATGAGCCTTCCGATTCCCTAAGCTTGAAGAGTTACCAATATGTGTGTGTACATATATATATTATATATATAACATATATATATTCTTATATTCATATTTGAAATCACACCCTTACATGTATGCAGAAATGTGTAAGGATTACATGACCATCTGTACATTTTGGGTGTTTGTGGGGACTTTGAGGTATGTATACATAAACATATGCATAGCATCACTGTAATCTCCTTTTTGCCAAAAGAGAATCAGAGCAGCAGAAAATAGTAAGTGTCCAAATTTCCCCTTCACCTGAAAGCTACAAGATCAAAAGAAATGTTTGGATCCCACAGGGGACAACGCCAGGGCCAAAGGAAGGTTCTAGTACCAGGAGCACACTAGCAACCCCTTCCCGAAAGGCATGTGGGCGACATGGATGTCTACACTCCCTTTTCTGGGTGGAAAGGCATATGGCTTTCTTACCCAGCCAACATGAATACAATTTAAGAAAATTAGAAAAAGTCAAGGTAACAGGCTCCCTAAATATGGCTGACTGGGAAACAGAAGCCATAAGGAGGATATAAGTTCTCCTAAAAAAGACGTGGGACGTTTATTTCCAGGGAAGGTTCAAAGACTCTTGAATGTAGGGTGTAGAGAGTCTGGCTCTTCCTGCACAGCAGACAGTAAGTAACTGGAACGCCAAATTCAGGGGCCCACGACTCTCTCCCCGCTGGGGCAGTGTCAACTGGTGCAGGCTGCCCCCACCCAGGGGGAAAGTGAACTGGAAGCAAATGATACCCTGCTTTTCCTCCAACATCGGAGTAATGAGCGTGGCCCCGTCTTACTCCAGTAGGAGGCACAATGGAAGCCCTGCCCTACATCTGATGGGCACCCTCACCCCAAGGAACTCCGAGGAGAGAGAACATGTTCAGGGAGACAGACAAGCCGGGCAGGGAGCCCTGGCATGTCCAGTTTCTCCCGAAAGGAAAAGAGGACAACTCAGAGGGTATGCAGGAAATGAGCTCACCCTCGCCCAGGAAAGTGTGCGGGGAGGGTGCACAATCCGTACGAAGTATCTGCTTTCCCATTTAGCAATGACTTCAGCGCTGCACAGGCCCCCACTAGCCGCTGGGTGAGGGAAGAAGAACATGGGTAGCCCGAGTCCCCTTGTCCTGGCAAAAGGGTCAAGAGATGGTGTGCAGAGGCCCCAAAAGATTCCACGGGAGATGAGAGGGTGACACGGACCCCTCTGCCGAAGCAGGACCAGGGTCACAGAAGGTAAAGGGCAAGGAAGTACCGAGAGCCTCACTTGCCATTGAAACGGAGACCCCACCCTCCTGGCCGCGAGGGGTGCAAGGGCAAGGGTAGGAGAGGAAGCACGGCTAGGGGCGGGGATGTGCGCAGGACCCCTCCCAGGAAGGGAAGGGGGAGGGGCCACACGAGGCCCTCCCGCCCGGGGACGCTCAGCAGGACGGGGTCCCCCTGGTGGGGAGAAACGCGGG